GAAGAACAATATATATATGTTAATTGAGGTTAGAACAAATATACGATTACTAGGAGTAATAGTTTGTTAATTAAGTTTCAAAGAAAATTGTTCTAATGACTGATGTTCCAGAAGCTTCGTGTAGGTTTTGCCTTAAAACCATAACCGATAAAAAATTTGATGTAATAGACAACGTAATCAGAGACATTTCAGATGTTCATTTGCCGAAATTGGTAAGTCGATGAAACCATATCAAAACCTTTTTATATATGCAGAGTGTTTATTAAGTACTTGTACAAACTTCAAAGGGTGAATCTTTGATTAATTTTAAGATAAAAAGTTCACATATAAACGCTTAGTTCTTGAGATACAGGGCATCCAAAAAAAATTTTCTGGTATCTTGATTATATTTTTGTTCAATAACATGGCAATTTGACGAAATTCGGGAAACTGCGAGTGTTGATGATGAGTAACTAAAATATTTACTTAGTTTTTTGTTTAATGTTGGAGAATGCCACATAAGAGTATTGTATCTGGATTTAGATAACCATAACTTTTTGTGTCACACCGAGTGTCACACTGTACGTCATTTTTGACTAAACAGCTATTTTCCAATCAATTTTACGTACAAAAGGTACTGTTAGTATTTGTCGCTGAAAGCAGCCGTTTTGTAAAAGAACATGTTTAAAGTTAAACCTGTGTTGGAATTTTGTAAGTTTAGTTTTTAATTAAGAGTTTTTTTAAAATCAAGTGCCCTGTATCTCAAGAACCAAGCCGCTAGGGATCCATATTCATATGAACTTTTTTTCTTAAAATTAGTCAAAAATTCACCCTTTAAAGTTTGTACAAGTTCTTAATAAACACCATGTATACATATAATTTTCTTTCTTTTTGGTTAAAATTGCGTATATTTCAGAATTTTGAACATAGCAAGGAGGTTATATGTAACGTTTGCAGAAGAAAGTTAAAGGCGGTGTTAGAATTTAAGTCGACTTGTATGAATACCGATAACACATTAATTCCATGTGTGGATTGTAAAAAAATGTTACAGCTCGATATGAGAGAAGTGTACACGAAGGAAAAGAGATGTGAGTCAGTTTCAGACAGTCAGAAAATATGTCGATTGTGTATGCAGCCAGTAGAACGTGAGTTTAGGTGCATACATGAAGAGGAACTTGAAGCTATTGAGGAATTGACACCTCAAATGGTATGAAAGATATTAAATACCATTTACCAATACCATTTACCACAATTTAAAAAAAATTACTTTGCAGAATATAAATATCATCAAAGAACCCGTTATGTGTAAGGCGTGTTTTGATTCCTTGCGTATGCACAACAGTTTCTTAAAAGGTTGTTTAGATGGAGGGAAAAAAATGAAAAGGCATTTTTTATAGTGCAACCACGGATAATCCAATAGATGTGTCACCATCTGATTTATTCGTTATGACTGAAAACCTGGACAAAGTATTGGATATTGGCGAGATGGAAATGTCAATCAAAACTGAATGTGTCGACATAAAATCTGAAGATGAGGAAAGAAGGTATGGGAAGATATTTTAAAAGTAACTTAAAAAATGTCACAGTGCCTGATTGTGGTACTTGCAAGATTTATACAATTAAATGGGTGCATAAATAATAAACAAATTCACTATTTATTACACCAACACAGAAACTTTCCCTTCAAAATTGATTAAGCTGTAGTAGAGCAATATTTTTAATACATATATTTTCTTTCATTGGTGGAATTTTAGGAATTTTCCTGTCAGTTTCCATTCCAAATAAAAGCTCACACAAAGCCTCTAAAATCTGATGTTTTAATGCAACTTACGTCTATGCCAAGTTGTTTTGTTTTGCCACTAAAAGATAGCAAAGTTGACAAGCCATTTTGGTTTTTCTCCATATAACTCTAAAACGCTTTGTCCCATTTAAATGAAAAGTATATCTAATTTTTTCAGCGAGGCGCTATTGCAGGTCAATATGTACAGGTGTAACAACTGCAATTTCAAAACTAAATATAAGAGGAATATCAAACGGCACCAATTAAAACATAAAGATCCTTCACAAGTTCAGATGTACAAGTGCAACGATTGTGATTACAAAACTAAACACAAGAGGAATATCAAACCGCACCAGCTGACTCATAAAGATTCTTCTCATGTCCATATGTACAAATGTAACCACTGTGATTATGAATCTAAATATAAGAAATATCTCAAACGGCACCAATTAGAACATAAAGGTCCTCCGCAGGTTCAAATATACAGGTGTAACGACTGCGATTACGAAACTAAATACAAGTATGGTGCGAAAAGGCACCAATTGAAACATACAGATCCTTCACAGGTTCAAATGTACAAGTGTAACGAGTGCGATTTTGAAAGTAAATACAAGAACTCTATCAAACAGCACCAATTGAGGCATAAAGATCCTTCACAGGTTCAGATGTACAGGTGTAATGACTGCGATTTCAGAACTAAATACAGGGATAATATGAGAAATCACCTACTGAACCATAAAGATCCTTCACAGGTCAAAATGTACAGGTGTAACCATTGCAATTATGAAACTAAATACAAGGGTTATATCAAATCACACCAACTGAAACATAAGGATCCTTTGCAAGTTCAAATGTATAGGTGTAAGGCCTGTGATTACGAAACTAAATACAGAGTAAATATCAAACAGCACCAACTAAAGCATAAAGATCCTTCGCAGGTTCAGTTGTACAGGTGTAGTGACTGCGATTATGAAAGTAAATACAAGAGTCATGTCAAACGGCACCAACTGAAGCATAGAGATGCTTCGCAGATTCAAATGTATAAGTGTAATGACTGTGATTACGAAACTAGATACGATAGTTATATGAAACTGCACCAACTGAGGCATAAATATCCATCACAGACTCACAGCTACAGGTTTAATTCTGCGACTTCAACACTAAATACAAGAATGCTATCAAACAGCACCATCTGAAACAAAGATCCGTCGCAAGTCCAAATGCATAGGTGTAACGATTGCGATTATGATAATGGTGATGAAAAAGTATCAACTGGCACATAAATATCCTTTGCATATTCAAGTATATAGGTGTAATGCCTTTGCTAACTAATGTTTGCAGGTGTGAATGTCCATCAATGTGCAAATTAAAGTCAGAAATGGATGTATTTAAGAGGTACAATTGGGATTATAAATTAATGGCATTATGGCTTCATCACCCTGTATATATATTTTAAACAGCGATATTGTATACTTGGTTGACAGTGTGTTAATAAAAAAGTCTAATTTAAACTTGATTTTTTTAATGCATTCTCATATCCCAACTATTTTTTGGAATACAGGGTATTAAATGTTTCCGAAAAACGTCAAGACTGAAATGTCAAGCCTTTTGGACAACCAGTGGCGGAGTTACTGGGAGGCTATGCCATTAAATTGGTCAGAATTTGGACACCATTGAATATTATGTAAATTAGACAAATTCACTTGATTCACAATGCAAAAATATCACATCCATTTTATTTGAAAAATCCTATCCCAAAAACAAGCTTATTATTACACAGTTGAATAAATTATAAGTGATTCGAAAACTATTACTTTAAAAAAAAATTCTTATGGAATTTTTTATTACGAATACATTGTTTTATTTATATGGCTGGAAAATTGAGTGGTGTACAAATTTTCCCTTTATTACCAATTAGAACATTTAAATTCCTATAAATATTTATGAAGTGAGTAGTTTTTAAGTTATTCCGTTTATTCAACTACACAATATGGGTTAAAAAGCATTCTTTTTTGTTTTAATTTTGTGCAACTTTCTCTTTCTTATTCAAGATGAATGTGTACAGATGTGGTGCACGATTTGGAATGAGATATTCTACAACGGGGCAACAATCAAGGACTTTTTTAAGCATAGAGTATATTTAGTTTAGTTTTAGTGTAACTTATACAATCAACAATGCACAAGAAACATCAAAGTTTCAACCTAGATAAAAATCAAAACTGACAGAAACAGGCTACAAAATTTTGCAAAAAGGCTCCAGAATTTTAATAATGTTTGTAAGGTAGAAAACGAAAATATATTAATTTTTTATTGCATCCAATCCGTTACATACCATGTTACTTTGAAAAGAGGAGATCTGTAGATTTAAAATTGAATTATTACATTGCTAATAACGCTTATGGATACGATTGATGAATTTGACAATAAATTATTGTCGAATATATGTTGCTCATTGTATATGATAACCACTTGGAATAGCTTCTTGCTCTCACTGAAAGTAGGTAAATTATACATTTACATAAATTATGTCTCATTATTTTATAGCAGCATCGAAAACACTTGGTTTACTAACTACCCCATTACCATGTTGAAATTAAATTATAATACCGATGACGTATCCCCGCCTCAGAAATGCTGCAACGCCATTGGACAACTCAAGATCAAAGTTTGTAGGCAACCTACTTTACTGATCTGGATGTTTCAACATAATTTTCACGTATCGCTTAAGTTAATGTGCTTAAAACTTACAAAAAGATATAAAAGAATATTCCTAAATTTAAATAAAGGGAAAAATTTAACTTTGGCCATGTTATACCTAATGCACATGCTCGGAAAGAATAGCCTCATACGCAGGTGAGATCTTATAATATGTCATTGCTTTCCTCATTGGCGTATTTTCTTTTGTTTCTCTCTCTCTCTTGGCATTTTCTAGTTCTACCAAGTATTTTTTATTATTTTCCTTAGTGTTGTACTGTGTCAGTACAGTACAGAAGATGGTAATTACTAATTACTCCAATTTTTATACACAGAATTCTTAAAATTATTTTATTTGTTTTATGTACGCAACTATAAAAATAGGGTAATATATTCTCTCAACAGCTGTTACCTACCCATCTGTTTTCATATGAAACATGGTCCCATATGTCAACGAATTCAACGTGAGAAGAAGAAGAAGAGAAATATAAATGCGGTTATCGAATGGTATCATTGTTTTTTTGACTGTATGGTTATGCAAGTTTGAAATTCCTGATTAGAATTATGCAAGCAACAATCTTTGAAGAAGCAGTTTGTAGGCTGTGCCTAAATACTGTAAGGAATTCAAATTGCCGGGTGATAGAAGAAGTCATAAGGGATGTTCTAAAGATTGTTTTGCCGAATGTGGTAAGATCAAGTTAACAATATTACATTTATGTCCGTAGTGTAATTCATTTATTCTTAATTGCAAATCCGTTTCAGAATTTGGAAGAGAGACTTACACATGTCATGTGTACAACATGTTCCGTAAAATTATTTGCCGCTTTTAACTTTAAGTCGGTATGTATGGATACCGAGGACTTAATTTTTCCTTATATTAACGCCAGTAAAATATCAGTGATTGATTTAAAGGAAGTCTATCTAAAAGAGAAGGGAAATATTCAGTTGACCGATGTGTCGGAAGATTGGACAATCTGTCGATTATGTTTTCAACCGGTAACTTACGGATTTGTGGCACTAAATGAAGTGGACGTTGATATAATCGATACATATATACCACAGGTTGTAAGTTATATTTTAAAGCATTTCTTAGGAAAATATTTGTATGAGCCAGAAAATAATCATTTCCATTAGTAACATATAAGCTACATAAACAGAAAATGTTTTATAAAGTTAGTAAATAACCTACTAACCTTTTTATTTGTCATATAAATCATTGAGAGACGTATTTTCAACTTTACACTGAATCCCAATTAATTTATGCTAATATTTTTTTAATTGTAGAATGTCAATGCTACCAGGGATCCTTGTATATGCATGGCATGCTTTGATTCGCTTCGTACCCATGACACTTTTTTAAAGAATTGTCTTGATGCACATGTGAAATATTCAAATGTCGATAAACAGTCTTACATTAAAACTGAAGAAATTCAAATAAAACCGGAAGACCATATGGACGGGTAAGGAAATATCGATAAATTTTGTGCTTTAATAATTTATTGTACAGTAGAACCCCGATTATCTGTGTGCAGATTGTCCGGGGTGCGGATTATCCTCAGAGTAATAAATAAAGGGGAGACCGTATTCCCTATTTCAGTATACAGTGTAAACATGTAACCTCAGCCTATTGTATGTTGATAAACAAATGATATATAATTAAACACAATGGTCCCTGGTACAGTGGCTTACTGAGTTTAGGTTTAAAATCATCATAATATAAGGAAACCATATTAGACTTTTTAATAGAATTTGATAAAATCAGAAGTGCTCGATTATCTAAGGTTTCATGTGTAATAAATAGTCAATAAATAGGAAAAAGTTTGTGGTTTCTTCAAAATCTATAATTAATATTTTAAAAACATTTCCAGAACAAAAGAGTGACTAAAGAAAACTCCTCAATTGAAACTGTCATTATACTAAAGCTACCAAGGGAACATAATTTTACAAGTATCCAATGCTACAAAATATGACACATCAATGTCATTGCCTGCTATTAGTTCTATTATTTCATAGTAGTTCTCGATTACTGGAAAAACTAAATTTATTAAAATAAATAATTAAATAAAACTACAAGGAGCAAAAATATATTTCATTAAAATCTGCTGGAATATAAACAATTCAAAGAAAACAAAACGTATTTGTACCAAAAGTAACGGAAAAATGAAATTACATTGAACATTTAATGGTATGGGAAAATAAACATGTTCCAAGCACGTTTTAAATGCATGCAACAAAAATAAATTGAATTTTGAGCTCATAGCATTGACAGCTCCTCTCTTACGGATCAGGGACAACATGTGATTGAAGATGTTTTATAGCAACATCTATAAAATTTCCTTCTATTGGCCTACTTTGAGTAAGTCAGCATTTATGTAAAATACGTCAGAAACTATAGAAAAGCAGAAAAAGTATAGCTAGGTACTTAAAATAAATGTACCTAAATTGCATTTTCAATGATTTTCTCCATGATCTCCCATGTATTGCTACGTTTCTTATGTAGAAAATAAATGTTTTGATTATCCGTGTTTTTCAATTATCCGTGCCGCGCTCGATTCCGTAGATCGAGGATAATCGGTGTTCTACTGTACTTTGTTTTTTGTACTGTCCGACCGAACTTTTGGGTTTCGCGCTAAGTTGGAGTTTTGGTTTTGTCAGAAAATTTTTTAAGTACATCGGTACTTCATTTGTATATTGAATACAATAATTACTTATGTGTCTTTTAAAATGATGGGTTGATAAGTTACTAAATTCAAGCCGAAGTAAAATAAAAATAAAGCAATAATGACACTTAAATTCTAAACAGTGCATCAACCGTTAACTTCATCAGATCATCCATGCACAATCATCGTCGATGTTGCAAGGTTATTGAAGAGATTGGGAAAATAACGACCTCGTTAATACTCTGGCAACAAACTAAGACTTTTCTTTGTTTCTCCGACATTAGAAATTACAGTAAACACTGATTTATTTCGGCATGCTATGTTCGCATATATGATTAATAATTTTAGAAACTAAAATAATTTTTTGTAAAACACAATATTTTGGCATCACCTATAACCCCTTAATAAACCCCATTTTCAAAAATACCCTGTATATGTAAATGTTTCAGTGACGCTCTACAGCAGACCTTCTATAATGAACCATTCGAGAAGAGGGACTGTAAAGATGCACAAGAGGATGGATGTAAAGTTGAGAATGGAGCAGCGAACAAATGTCACGTGAAAATCAAGCAGAGGTACCTATTGAGGCATAAAAATATTTCAAAAATACGTATGCACCAGCACGAGTCATGTAATTACAAGCCAAAGTGCAAGTCTAACCTTGCTAAGCATCAGGTGAAGCCCAAAGCAGAATTGTACAAGTGCAACTTCTGTGATTTCAAAACGAAATGGAGGACCAGTTTTGATAGACATTATATGAAACACAAAGACTCAAACAAATGTGATGAGTATGATTATAAAACCAAATACAAGGTATTGCCAGATAAGGGCACTTCACAGCTACCGATTTATAAATGCCATGGTTGCAACTACGAATCAATGAATAAGAGTAATTTCACCAAACATCAGTTAGTACATAAAGATTCTTCTCAGGTCCAAATGTACAGGTGTAAGGACTGCGATTACGAAACTAAATACAAGAATAATATCAAAATTCACCAACTGAAACATAAAGATCCTTCGCAGATTCAAATGCACAGTTGTACTGATTGCGATTACACAACTAAATACAAACATCATATCAAACAGCATGAACTGAAACATAAAGATCCTTCGCAGATTCAAATGTACAGGTGTAACGACTGCAATTACCAAACTGAATTAAAGGGTAAGATGAAAATTCACCAACTGAAACATAAAGATACTTCTCAGGTACAAATGTACAGATGTAATGACTGCGATTTCGAAACGAAATACAAGAATCATATCAGTGGGCACCAACTAAAACATAAAGATCCTTCGCACATTCAAATGTACAGGTGTAGCGACTGTGATTACGAATCTAAGTACAGTAGCTATATCAAAAAACACCAGTTAATACATAAAGATCCTTCGCAGGTTTAAATGTATAAGTGTAATGACTGTGACTTCAAAACGAAATACAAGAAAAATGTCAAAAGGCACCTACTGATGCATAATAATCCTTCACAGATTTAAATGTACAAGTGTAGTGACTGTGATTATGAAACTGAAAACAAGTATACTATCAAACAGCACCAACTGAAACATAAATACCTTTCACAAGTTCAAATGTACAGGTGTAATGACTGTGATTATGAAACTAAATACAAGAACAGTATGAAATATCACATGTTGAAGCATAAAGATTTCTTGTAGGTCTAAACGTACAGCCGTAATAAATGCGTTTAAAAACCCAAATAAAAGAGCTCTATCATGTGTTGAAGCATAGTCTTCTCCTATGCAAATGTACCGGTGTGATCTGTGCGATGTGCTAACTAAGGTTCCTGGCTTGAAAAACATCGGTTGAAACATGAAAACCTTACCAAAGCAGAATCCGGCAAGTGACTAAAATTTGTAGAAATCGGTAGTACTTACCTAGTTATGAACTGAAAAGCTTCCTGTTTCTCACAATGTAACCACCTGTCGAATGACAAACGGTTTATAATTTCGACATATTGTATTAAATGTACATGTACAGTGTGTCCCGTTTTTCAGGTTAACACCTCTGGAAATGTGAGAAGGCTGTGGACTTTCCGCAAGCCAATTTTTTTATAAGTAGTGCCCTGATGGGAGGTTATATTCTACTAATCATTTTATTGATGTGACAAAAGTGTGGCCTGCTACGATTTTTTAAAAGGGTTGTTTTTCCAGAAAGTAGTATTAGGCATATTTTTATTAAAAAGATAATATTTTCAGGCTATTCAACACCCATATACCAAATTTGAACGACAAATGTCTATTGAGTGTTTTTTATGTGGTGCCAAACTTCGAAAAATCACTAAATCACCTAAAAATTATAATAAGCATGTCAAAGATTGCCATGAAAGTGAAAACAAATACCAGTCGGACAAAGAAATAATATGGGTACTTTAAATTTAATACTCTTAATTATATTAATTCATTATTATTAATTAATTATAAAAATAATAACTTGCAAAAAAATGTAATGAATTATAAATACTAATACAAAAAAATTGCAAAACGTTAATCCAAATTAAGTTTTAGTTTTCTCCACCAAACCTTCCAGTCGAACGCATGTTTCCAATCCTCTGCTTAAATTTAAAAATAATTTACATAGCCGTTGTGGAGTAATCTCTGAACAAGCAATAATGCAATAATTCATTAGGTCATCCAAATTCCTTGGTCTGTTTTTATAAACCTTTTGTTTTACAAAACCCAAAAAGTAAAAATCCATAGTTCGAGAAAACTAAAATTTAATTTAGATTATTTTGCAACTTTTTGTTTAACAATTTAATATTTATAATTCATTACCTACATTTTTTGTACGTTGATTATTATTTTTACTATGACCGCAATTAAAAGTGTTAAATTTATAGTGTCTATACTATTTCTTTGTCCGATTGGCACTTGTTTTCACTTTCATGGCAATCTTTAACCTGTCTATTATAATTTTTAGTTGATGTAGTGAGTGATTTCTCGAAGTTTGGCACCACATAAAAAAACACTCGATAGACATTTGTTGTTCAAATTTGGTATGCGGCTGTTTTGATGGGTGCTGAATAGCCTGGTAATATTATCTTTTTGATAAAAAAAGTGCTTAATACCATTTTCTGTAAAAACGACCCTATCAAAAAATCGTAATAGGCCAGGCTTTTGTTACATCAATAAAATGATTAGTAGAATATAACCTCCCTTCAGGGTACTGTTTGTAAAAAAAATTGGCTTGAGGAAAATCCACAGCTTTCTCACATTTCCAGAGGCGTTAACCTGAAAAACGGGACACACTGTATATTTCAAACAGCTTATTATATACTGTATAGACCAAGTAGTTAATAAAAAAGTCTAATTTAAACATGTATATTTTTTTTAACGGGAAGCTGTTGAGTACTGCTGACCACTGTGTATTTACACGGTAGGTGAACTGTGCAGTGTTGCCGGTGTTATATACAGGATGTTCAAATTTTAGTCCCAAGCAAGTTAATGTGGTTGTAGTCCACAGTACAGGCCCCCTCTGAAAAGTTGATTACCACATACTTTATAACTCCTGAGGAGCTTCGTTTTGACGAGTCTACCACATTTTTCCTCTGCGGCTTTTCTCGATTCTTTCGCTTTTCCACTCGGAAAAGTCCATAAACATGGCAATTTCCCGGGGTTTTGAAAACTCAAGACCACATCTATTATTTTTAGCTTAAGTTACTGGAAATTTTGTTGCAAATGCCGATTTAAATTTGTCCGACAGAAATTCCTCCGACATTGACGTGTCTACCGGTGGAAACATGCCAAAATAACGGTATTGAAAATCAATTACCACACATATGAACTATATGTCTATCTCCTCTTCTCAAAGCTCAAGCTTACTTTGAGAAAAGTCACATATTTTATAGTGTAATATTGTAAGAGTTTAATTAAAAGCCTTTTTTCTCGAAAATCGTCCACATTAGGAAGTTCTAACAAGAGTACATTATTTTAGAAAATAAAATTGTACAATAGAAATTATAGCCTGGTAAAAAACCTAACATTAAAAAAAATGTAACTTAAATTGTAATAAGAATGTAGCATAACTAGCGCATTCTATGAAATATACAAAAAATAATTAGACTAGCGTATTTGGCACCCTTAAAAACCTCGAACTACGAAATTTCATAAAAATATTTCGCACTATATGGAAATTTTCATAAAAATGTTATTTAAAAATTTTTATTTTGTCTCTCTGTATCTCGAAAACAAGAGGAGATAGACATAGAGTTCATAAGACAAAAAATTCTCATTTTTTATCATACCATCACCCCCTTTATTTACGGGAGGTCTTTCTGAAACACCCTGTATATATTTTTAGTTTTATTTTTGTAATTGTAAATGTCTATATACTCAATTTAGCCAAATAAATATCGAGAAAAGAATTAAACGATTTCAAAAAATTATGTATGGTGTAAAAAAATTATGCACAAAAGTTTTGGGATTTTCTTTTAGAAAAATAGGAAAATTTTTGTAAAGAAAAATAACAAACGCGAATGAAAACTTGAAAGAGAAAAAAGGATTTTTATATCAAGTATAATATTAATTTATTTAGAAATAATGCATTATGCACTAAGATCGTATTAATCGCCTCAAAAATAACTTCATTTGTTTATAACTTTTAAATTTTTAAGCAAAAAATAAGCAATATTATAATTATTTATTTGAAACAAATAATAATTTACATAATAATTAATAACCATTTATAAAAATGAAATTTTTGGAGTGAAAAAATTAAATTTCATCACGATCATTGATTTATTGATTTTTTAATAATTTGCGGACATTAAATCGTCGGACACTTATATCACTATTTTGTACAGTAAATTTAAAAGTGGAAAAAATTAAAATTAGATATGTGGTAATCGATTTTTCATACCCCGTGAAAATTCCGATTTCCAGCTGGCGGACTGGAAAATTATTATTAAAAAATTAATAAAATGGCAGCAGAATTGAACCGTGAGTTTGAATTTAAGCAGAATCCTACCCTGTTCGGAATGCTTACGAAAGGAGGCAGTAGAGCTTAGCTGTTGTGCTGACATGCCATATCTTCCATAGAAGATAAGATATCTTGTAATTGTTAGACCTCTTTCAGGCATTTCTGCCACAACCAAACCTTTCTTGAATGACAGCCTGTTGCGGGGCTACTTCGCTTAAATGAAATTATCTTTAATGCGCATGCTCAGTAACATCGATATAATTTTAATTCATTAATTACTATAAAAGTCAATGTTGTTCTATAAATTTAAATACATAATTTCTATAATTCTATTAGTTTGTCACTTGGGGTTTGAAACTTCTTAAATATCTCTAATAATGCCAGAATACCGCGATATTTAAGGTCATGACAAAGAAGCATTTTTTGGCACTTATATCCAAAGTACATAAGGCAGAAAATCGATCTAGTAAAAATATCTACTGAGAAATTCTTCATGACAATGTGCACTATGGGCTATGGGGTTGCCTATTATTTGGCGCATGTGACGTCACTACAAAAAAGGTCTATTCAACATGAATGTATGCAGATGTGGTGCACCAGACTTGGAGTGAGAACTTCTACAACGATGTATGCTTACATTTAAGGCTCCCCAACATTCACGGACCTTTTCAAAACGAAGCATGATGTCATCGAGTATAAATACGTAACTAGTAGGTCTGTTCCAACAAGAGTCAAGGATTGGTTTCAAACCATCAGAAATGTGCATCCAACTATATTCACTTAAGACACATTTAGAATTTAGCCGGCCAAACATTTCGAACGGTTGGGAACCAATCCCTGACTCTTGTTGGAACAGACCTAGTGTTGAGGGTGATTCTATGTTGTGGTATGTTGAAAGGAAGGGACTTATAAAAATTATCATTTATATGTTCTGTGTAGGTGCAAAGATTTCCAAGAATCTTAAAAATTCTTGACGATCTCCACTTCTGGATTTATGCTTTGCTAAAGATTCACACGCGCCATTATTCTATGGCTAGAAATTGGCCTCAATGATTTGGGATCGAGGGGGATTATCCCTCTTTATCCTGCCTCATCTCGTGTAGGCCTGGACANGACAATCTGTCGATTATGTTTTCAACCGGTAACTTACAGATTTGTGGCACTAAATGAAGTGGATGTTGATATAATCTATACATATATACCACAGGTTGTAAGTTATATTTTAAAGCATTTCTTAGGAAAATATTTGTATGAGTCAGAAAATAATCATTTCCATAAATAATATATAAGCGATATAAACAGAAAATTTTTGTAAAGTTGATAAATAACCTACTAACCTCTTTATTTGTCATATAAATCATTGAAAGACGTCTTTTCAACTTTACATTGAATCGCAATTGATTTATGCTAATATTTTTTTAATTGTAGAACATTCATGCTACCAGGGATCCTGTCATATGCAGAGTATGTTTTGATTCGCTTCGTACCCATGGCACTTTTTTAAAGAACTGCCTTGATGCACATGGGAAATATACAAATGTCGATCAACAATCTTACATTAAAACTGACGAAATCGAGATAAAACTGGAAGATCATAAGGACAGGTAATGAAATGTCGATACTTTTTGTACTTCATTAATTCATTGGATGTACTTTGTATTTTTTTTGTATCTTGATATTTCCTAAATAGTAATTTAGACACACAAAAATGCACAACAATACGAGATTAGCAAACTTAAATTTGAAAACATTTCTATAAGCGACCCAAATTAGTGAAATCAAGCAGAAGTAAAATAAAAATTAAGCAAATGATTTCATTATATACTAAACAGTGCATCAACTGTCAACTTCATCAGAAATAACAACCATTTTATACTTTAATCCGCTGGCAACAAACTGAGACTTCCCTTTGCTTTGCCGACATAAATGACAGCAAACACTGCTTTATTTCGACACAGTGCTATGTTCGCATGTATGATTAATAGTTTATTATTCATTATTTATTTTTAGAACTCTTATTAAAGTGACTGCTTTATAAAATGCATTATTTTGGCATCACCTATAACCCCCTAAAACACCCAATTTTCAAAAATAT